AGATATTCAGCCCAAAAGTTGGTCCCCGGCATTGATTAACTCAGACCAGAGGTCTAGCCCTCGATCAGTGAGGTTTAGAGATTTCCTGGTTGTTACACTGTCTTCTATTGAGTTCTTCCATTGGTTGATCTGCAGTTTTCTTAGGTGTTAATTACTGCCTGCTACCATGTTACACATTCAATCACTGATTCACTCGCTCTTTCAGGGGCCAGCCTGATACAGAGAAGGGCAGTTTGATTCCTGCCCTTGTTAACATTGTTACAATGTATAACTTACTTATGAAACTAAACACATTTAGTTGAAAGGTGAGGAGTATAAAATAAGCTACAAATGTAATGCCATGGCACACAAATAGATAAAAATACCAAAATACAAGGGGAGATGCAAAATACACACATACACATTTCAAAACACAATTCCTTATCTTAAAGTGAAAGAAAGAGGAAGGAAGAAAAGGTAGAAGAGGAAAAACATATCCAAGGAGGGGAGAGCAACTACAGGCAAGAGGAAAAGGGGCTTTCTGCTACATTTTCAGCCTATCCAAGTCAGCCTGGATCACCAGTCTATCCTCTAGTGCGGACACTCTATCCCAAAGTTTGGTGTCATTGGCAAACTTGACCAATCCACTTCTGACACCTGTATCCATGTAATTGATAAAGACATTGAAGAGAATAGGCCCAAGGACCGAGCCTTGGGGAAACACCACTGGTCATGGAGCACCATGATTATTTGCTTCTATCAACCACCACTCTCGAGTCCGGCCTTGGAGCCAATTCTCCAGCCATCGGACTGTGATGTAGCCGAGACCACAGTTGGCCAATTTTTCCAAGAGGAGATTGTGGGACCCCAGATGAAAGGCTTTTTTGAAAATCAGATATATGGCATCAATCTCTTCTCCCTTGTCCAGGTCATATGTCACCTGGATAGAAGATGAGATTGGTCAGGCAAGACCTACCCGCAACAAACCCATGCTGTCTCCTCAGGATGTTACCATCAGCCAGCTTGTCAAGAATGGACTCTTTGATGATTTTTCCAGAATCTTACCAGAGATTGAGGTCAAGCTAATTGACCTGTAGTTCCCTGGATCTACTTTGCTCCCTTTCTTGAAGATGGGCACCACATTGGCCTTCTTCCAATCTTCAGGTACTTCACCTGAGTGCCAGGAGTTTTTGAAAAATCTTTGCCAGTGGCTAGGCTATGACTCCTGCCAGCTCCTTAAGTACTCTGGGGTGCAATCTGTCAGGACCTGCTGACTTGAAGGTGTCCAGCCTCTCAGTGTATTCCTTTACAAGATCTACACTGATGCTGGGGATAATTTCACCCTTACCCTGGTTGTCCCGCATCTTCCTAGGCAGGGCGGACCCTTTGGGTTGATGAAAAATCGACACAAAGTACCCATTAAGCAGGTTAGCTTTTTCCTGGGTGTCAGTTGTCCCATTTGGTTTAGCAGGGGTCCAATGTTACCCTTGCTTTTCTTTCGAATCCCCACATATCTAAAAAAGGACTTTTTATTGTCCTTAATATGTGTAACCAGGTGGAGTTCAGTGGCAGCCTTGGCTTTCCTGGTTTGCTCCCTACAGGTATGGACCAGTGCAGAGTAATCCTCCTTTGTGGCAATTCCTATCTTCTATCCTTTATAAGCCTCTCTTTCTAGGCATAGGAGGTCCACAGGTTCCCTGCTGAGCCAAGGGGTTTGCTGTGCCTTTTGCTACCTTTCCTCCCAGGTGGGATGGACATCCTTGTGCCTCCAGCATCACTCCCTTAAGGAGCAATCACTCCTCTTAGACTCCTCTCCCTGCTGAGTCTTGGTCCCTTAGAGCCTTGACAACAAGCCTTCTGAGCTTATCAAAGTTAGCTTTCCTAAAGTTGAGGACTTCTGCACTGCTGACTGATTTGCCAGATTTGTGATAGATGGTAAGAGTGATCAGCTTGTGGTCACTGTCTCCTAGCTTTCCTTCGATCTTTAGGTTGCTGACTAGGTCATCTC